AGCCATTTCGTTGAATGAAACATTGCATCAACAGGGCTTCTGGAATTGCTAACGTCGGATCATAACACATAATACATAATGCAATATAGGATTTCATTAAAAGTCAATCGCCATGTGTGTGGCGCGAGACAATAAAAAGAAACACTTTTTCATAATGTATGCTAACTGTACACAATATAAGTAAATAAAAAAATATATATTATCTTCTATTATCAACAGCGACGAAAACGGAGAAAAAAGATATAAATATATATATATTAATTTCTTTAAAATATTGCGATAAAATAAATTCTGCAACGTAATCAATTTTCGTTTAAGGTATTGAGTTTTGTCAGATATTTTTATTATAGCATTTCAATATATTGCTATCTGCTCTTTGTTAAAAAAAAATATTAATTTTCATCATTGTTTTATCATCTGTGACAGTAATGAAATACGGATATACCAGAAACGTCGATAATTGGTTGGATATGTCAATATTTATTCGTATCCCGTTATATCTTTGTCATTTACGCGACATCGTTGCCTGGCAAATTCTTGCCGGCCAATTATCATTTTCACTCTCTCATCAAGCTCGCGATTATGTCGCTGCACGATCGAAGTGCATTCATTAACGCGACATCCTAAAGCTATCAGCGTAGAATCTATTATATTATGTATATCGCAAGCTAGAATAGCTTTGTTTGCAGTGCCGTTCCATATTTAATGCTAAATGATCAGACTAGGATTAATATGTTTTGTATAAGTACTTCGAGAGAGAAAAATATATTGTTAATTAAAAAATTGATTTATTGTTAACTGAAGTTTTAATATTACGATTTAAAAATCAAAACACTGTGTTTCAAGTGTGCGAGCGTTTATATGTCACGCTTGAATGTAGAACGCTTGGATTAAATTCAGTGAATATTTGCAAAACGCGCATTCAATAATAGTTAAGTAAAGTTTAATTTTGTTTTAAGCAGCATTTACATGATAAGCATGATAAGCTTGTTGCAGCGACATGTTTTCACTTTGCATGTATATTATATTATATTTTGCGTGTGCATAATAAGTTACGTAAAATGTAATAATATCTATAAACATGTAATAATTACATTTGTCAAGTGAAAATGAAAAAAAAGAACAAATTAATGCTGATGAAAGATTAACGCTGTGATAAATATTTACATGTATCTCTGCTTAACTTAACATCATTATAAATGTTACAGATATATCGGAATTGCTGTTTTGATAAATTTTAATTTTTATATTTAATAGGTATACATGTCACGCTGGCATTTGTTTACAGAATATTATTTTGTAACATTTGACGCGCTTGTAACATTTAATATTATTTCCGACATGGATCATTAATGTAATAATAATGTTAAATAATAAATTATTGAATGACAATGCGGAAATTTCTCTACAATTGCACTGAGAGTGTGAAAATTGATCTTGTTCCATCACGAATGCCGATTGCACGATGCTGGCGATGACACGTACAATTATATATTCATGCAAATACGAGTGTGTTATCAAGTATCATTTTCCATCTCTCTGCTTAATAACAGTGCATTGCGCAATAATGTTACTAGGCAGATGCACGTTTTCTCGCGGAAAAACAACTATACTTTTATAAGACGTAAAAAAAAATTAAAATATTGCTTTATTAATTCATTTATGAATAAGCGCGCAATAAAAATGTCGTTCGTGTTTATGACACGGTTTGTCTTCGTACAAAGAACGAATAAAAACGAAATCTTCTTGGCTGTGCCAAGATACATTGAAAGCAGTATCTGTGTCTTCTTAAAGTTGAAAGCAAGCACACACCGTAAAATTTAGTTAGGCGAAGTCTCTGCGCGATTCTTTTTTTACGTTCGTGAATTTTTCAGCAGTTTCTCAGAACATTAGGGAAAACGACAACGATAACGCACGACTTCCGTTTCTGCGAGCGTCGTCGACCAAATAAAAAGTGGCGGGACGAAGGAGACAAAGAAAGACGATTTATTTTGTCATCGAAAGTTGGAGCTAAGATACATTATAAACAACATAACAAAGTTACGTTGTAATCCAAATAGATTTCATATTGGCGTAACTGCTGCGTCGAAAATTCAATCTTTTCGTTACTACAGTTTGCGATTTGCCTTCTCCGTAAACTTTCAGCCGTAATAAGTATTTGCCAGTTCTGCCGAAAATCGGTGCAGTTGCCTGTTCTCCTACCCATAATTTTACGCGAAATTAATTGCGCTAACCGCGTCGTGACATGCAACAGCTTTCATCGTTCACACACTTCGCAGTAATAAATAAATAATCGCGAACGAAAACAAAATTATTCTATATTATTCGAAATTATTCTCTATTATCTAAATCTGAATTTAACACGAGATACATCAACAAAATTTTTGTGAGATTTTTACATCAGTATGCAAAACTTTTATACTTTTTAATTTTATACTTTGAATTTTTTGAATTGTATAAAAAAATCTCTTAAATTCTATGAAATCTTTGAGCATATTTCGGAGAAAACGGAATGTTCTTGTTTGATTTTAAAAGTCTTATCGTTGGATTGATATTTTCCAAGCTTAATATTCCTCGATTGTAAAATTTTTCAATTTCTAGATCCTTGAATCGTAACCTCAATATGCAAACTAACGGAAGCACTGTTTTAGAAGGATCTTTCTAATTTTATTAACCATATTTTTTTAAACGCCGATAAAACAATGATAGAAACTTGTTACAAATATGGTAGCAAAACGACAGAGAAAGAAACGATCGTTTGTAAGTCACGGAAAAAGAAGTAATATTAACGAAAAAAATACATTCTTTTTGCTTTGCATTTTTCATTCCATCGCTCGCTCGTATGATAAGTAAGATTAAATACAGCATGAAAAATTAATCGCTTTCGTTTATGAATGTAAAACCGTAGAAACAATCGTTGATTTTGAACTCTGCGTTAGATCAAAAGACTAGAAGACTAGAAAGAAGAATAAATGAGAGGAGATGGAACGAAAGAGAAAGAGAAAGAGGAACGATACGAAACGCAAGGGTAGAGAACGTAAGAGCTCCGGCGTGTTCGATAAGCGGCTTGGGGGAAACACGTCGACGAACCGAGTCCTTTTCAACTTCTTCCCACCCTTATTCTTCCCTTTTTATGCGCTACGAGCGCATCGATGCAGGTGCATCTACTCCGTCTGGAGCGTTTATGTCCGGAGACGGGGAAGAAAACTTGGCGCGAAATAAATCGTCTTTCTTTCGCACGTTTTCTCGCCCGTAAAATCATAAAACGTGAAGTCGACAGCGAGATCAATTTTACAAATCCGTTCTACAAAAAGCTGGGTATACGAAAGTTTTTGCTGGCTGCGGATCGAAAAATGGGGTAAGAAGTAAATTTGAGAATTGGTAGAGGAGAACAGAACTACACAGTTTTGATAGGTTTGTCTTAAAGATCGCCGGATGATGATCGACTTAATGATACTCGATAAAAGTAGGACAAATTTGATTGAAAAATAACATAATGAGACATTTTTTATACGTCTAGTAAAATATACTTGCGTAGAGACGGGGAAGAAAACTTGGCGCGAAATAAATCGTCTTTCTTTCGCACGTTTTCTCGCCCGTAAAATCATAAAACGTGAAGTCGACAGCGAGATCAATTTTACAAATCCGTTCTACAAAAAGCTGGGTATACGAAAGTTTTTGCTGGCTGCGGATCGAAAAATGGGGTAAGAAGTAAATTTGAGAATTGGTAGAGGAGAACAGAACTACACAGTTTTGATAGGTTTGTCTTAAAGATCGCCGGATGATGATCGACTTAATGATACTCGATAAAAGTAGGACAAATTTGATTGAAAAATAACATAATGAGACATCTTTTATACGTCTAGTAAAACACACACACACACACACACACACACACACACACACACACACTTGATAGAAAACAAATTATTTTATAATGACAGATAAGAGAATTTGTTCTCTTTAAAAATTATAACAGCAAGCTGTTTATAAGGTAATAATAAATATAATATTATTTGAATGCAATTGCACATTTCATCCGCTTTATTTTTGCATCTAATCGTCAAACACAGGATTCGTTGGAAATTATGAGAGCGATTTTTATATAAAATCGAAAGATTTGGCATAAAATTTCTCGTAATCTCAATTTCCAATTTTCGAATCAAAACGTATCCTAAAAACAATAATTCATATTCCGAAATTCGTACGAATAATAAAGCTCTACCGGCGGATGGAATATCGAATCTCACCGCTGCAGCATATATATATTCTTGACTCAGCATTTTTTTTAGCTACCACGTGTTTTCGCCGAATCGAGCAGCGTAAATACATCCGAATTGACCACTAATGCCTTTTTTTGCTACCCATGCGTTTGTTAAGCGTCTCGCTCCCTGACCCTGTCAAAATAAATCCGAAACGATTTCTCGAATTTGTAACATTTGGACGAGCTTGCATACGTGTTGATTTAAAACCCGAATTGTGCGATTCACTCCGATAGTGAAATTCGAAAGAGCACTATATTGTTTTCTAAACAATAATCTGTTTTCCGATAAATTAATTTTTTTTAAACTGTATTAAATTATATATACTGTCAAAAGATTATGCATCAGTAGAATCGAGTCTTATATAAAATCAAAAATTTATATAATAATTCAAGTAAACGTCTAATAGCAATAAGATATTTCTTCTATATACTCGTCAGGGATATCAAAGTTGACGGTCGTAGTTTACTATAATACCCAAACGACGAGGATTTTGCAACGCGACGTGATACCGAGAAGATAATCCCGCGATGGAGCACTTAAGCGTTTAAACTTTAACCTGTTCGATCCCGGCTCATGTCGCGAACAATCTTTTCCATGAGACAGCAACCGATCGACGGCCATAACGTCCGCCGATCGGGAGGGAGACTTCGAGGTAGATCGACATGAGGTCGATCGACGCGAGGTCGCGATTTACGAAACCAGGCCAGATACGTGAATAATTCAAGCAACACTCACCGATCACGTTGAGACTGTAGTTGAGTGACATCTTCGGTTCGGTGCTGACCTGACACTCGTACACACCGGAATCACGCTCCTGCGGCGACTTGATCTGCAGCGTCCAGTTCTCCGACTTGTCCGGATGGATCACCTGGAATCTCAGATCCGATGTGTACATCAAAATGCCTGCGCTCAGAATATGCATGTCGCGTTTGCGCATCCAGGACACCTGAAACATAAACGGCTCGCCTATAATCAGATATTATTATATACATATGACACACACATTTCCACTTATCAAATTACTAATCTAATATGTTCCATTTAATTAAAAAAAAATTCTAAATAAATCTTAAACATTACTAAATATGTGGTGACATTTTACGTATAAATTATTTTTTCAATAAAAATGTTTTAATTTTTGTAAGTTTTCTATATTTTCTATATGTATTGGCAATTTTTATTATTTGTATATGATATTACTGACATACTTTGAGAAATAAAAAAAAGCTAAAACAATTTTTCAACGAAAGTGGTATAATCGTTTTCTCTATTTGCTAAATTTTGAATTACAAATTGATGTATAATCAAAGAGATTGCTGGTCACAATTAGCCAATTTATGCAAATTTTTAATAGAAAAAAGATTCTAGAAAGTAAAAAAAAGTTGTAAATGTTTAGCGCCAAAAATCGTCGAGTGTCAACGTCGGTGATGTTACTATACTGGCTCGAGAAGTCTGCAACGTCTTGGTCTCGTGCTAGAACAAAGACCACGGAAAGCACCCAGGGCACCGTAAATCCCTGGCCGGTCGACGTGCGTGTCGCAAACGATCTCTATAGTCTCTCATTGTTTTGCGCGCGAACATGTCTGCCGGCTATTTAATGCATCGTCAGAGTTCCGGAGCGTAATTTCCCGGCGCGCACGTTGAAAACGGCAGCCAACCACAATTATCAGGCTTCTCTTCTCCTTTTCAAAGACTTCTCCGTGTAATTTGATTTTTTTTTTTATCTCAGCTGCATTGAATTCATATAATTAACCGAAGTTCTCGTGTAGAGAAATGTGGCTTAAGTATAAATTTACGATTTCTTTCAAAAAGAAGATACAATATCTTTAAGAAAAGCATTTACTTCGAGTCACTTTTTAAAGTATTTATGTATTGTTTAAGAGGAAAAATATCTATAATATTTTCTTCTGTCAATATTAATATTAATTGGTAATATCATAGTTCATAAGATAAATCTAAATGAGGATGATAATATTCTCATTTTTTTTGTATTGCTATATATGTTTTTGTCACAAATAGAACATATAATAACGAAATGTATGCAATTCTGAGGATGTAATATGTGATTTAAACATCAGGAAATTCTTATAATCTTCTAATCTTATTTTTTAAAAGATTATCTGTTGAATAATAGTTGCTGTTATTGCTGCATGGTAATCAAAAGGACCAAGTGGCCTGGAATACATTCGATGTATCTATTAAACGGCGAGTGAAAAGGTAGAGGGTTTGATTTAGATAGGCAGCTTAGCCACGCGTATCACACCGTACGATGCACATGCATGATTGGATGATACCTTTGCGAACAAACGCCAGAGACTAATTCGCGCAACGTGCTGCTGAATCGGAGGTCAGCCACCAGCAATAGCGATCCGAAGCCGCGAGGTAGTGCCGCATCAAGCGGATTGGTTATCTCCTATCTCGCGACGATCATCATCGGTCAACCATGAATTTCATTTTGCAAATTGAGTTTCCTGCCCAAGGTAGCCGCTACCATAGAACTGAACGTTCAGTGCTAAAAGCATTAATGTACAACAATCGTCAGTGCTGTAAAAACAATTGATTTTTGATGAACCATTGATGGAGATTGATTAGCCTGCCATGTCCCGATCGATGCTGCATTGACGTTGCCAATAGTGTTCCAAGTACGTGCCGAGAGCACTCCCGTATTAATCGTTTGAACTCTATTGCATGTCAAATTATACGTTAACAGAGTACTTCATTTTCTTCTGATAAAACATCGAAATTTCTTTTGATCAGAATTCTACATTTATTATAACAAAAATTATAAATTTATGTACGAATCTTTTATAAAATATATTTTGTAATTTATAACAGTTGTAATATGATTTGTTAATATTTATCTCTTCTTTAAACGCAACACATTTTTTAATCTTGCGGTCAGCATAAAAAGATTTTTGTATAAATCTAATCTGTTTAAACATTTTTTTTTTTTTAACGATATACACACAGTTATTGATAATAAGTATAATTATATACAAATATGTATATGTATGCATAATAATATAATAATAGATTTTACAATAATTATTGTTATAATTATAAGAGTTGAAAATACAAATATATAAAGATATAGCATTGCGTGTTGTGATCTTGCGATATGAACAGCAATGAGGTATTTATCATGATATAATTTGGCTGATGTTTGCATATGGTAAATCATTATTACGTAACAGTATTGTCATCCGTTAATTGTCACATAGTATCGATTAATACATTCACTAGAGTGATTATTGATAATGCCCGTTAGGCATTAACACAATACATATTGCATTTGCGTCAAAAGCGAATGCTCTAAGGCAAACGAAACAAAATAAATATTGCTTGAAATTATAATATTTGGCAAATTTATAATATTTTCTGGATAAATATAAATATAAACATTGCATTATACATATACATATTTTAAAACAATGTCTTTTTTAAATATAAACATTTTATAAATGGTTCTACAAAAAACATGCAAGTATTATATTTGGTGTATATATTGCAATAATTGTATCTAGTGTACGTATATCACACTCTTTGTCCTGTTTTATTAAACATATTTTATTATCAAAAATATTTTATATAGACTTAAGCTCTCTCTTAGAGAGCTAAGCGATATCGCTTACCCTTTAACATGGCGCGTTCATCATTTTTTCATACTACGACCCTGAACGCGCAAGATAATCGCACGATATTTTACTCGATTATGAGGAAACAGGAAGATACGAGATATGAAGGCGCTCCATGTCGCACATCGTTAACTACGTAAAACCGGTAAATTTGCCGTACAACGCGACGCAGCGTATATAGTTTACCACAACGACGGCATCTGCATGCGCTTCATTATTTATGAGGTTGCTGAAACGGCCTGATCGACGCTCATTGGGAATTGACGGATATCGATTTCGCTCGTCACGAGTCTACGCGATGTTACGCGCCGAACCGGATGATGAATGTTCGTTTTGGTAGTGACGCGACGAGATGAAAAACGAGGTACGAGAACATCGAAGACAAGATCCGCAAACTTTCGACGAAGAAGTCGCGAGAAGTCCTCAGTCGACATTATGCCATACATTTGGATCGATATCTAATGGTAAGTATATCACAGCATGTAAACATGTATTATTTTAAATCAGATGAAGAGCTATTGAGTTTTTGTGTTACCTTTACCAGTGATATATAATCGAAAGAAATATTTAATTAATTGTAGCTTTAAGAGCAGTGTCGATGCAACCGGTCTTCAAAATTTTATACAAATCAGAAATCGAGCAATCTTTCAAACTTGTAGATAGACTTTAATAGTGTTGTATTTACGAATCGGGTCGGAATTACGACAAATCCCCTGCTCTTTGTACGATTATTCGATGTCGCACTCTGGAACGGCTTTCATCCTCTCTAGTCATTGCGAGGCGACTTTCACGAATTACTTAGACAGTTGTCGGAACAGCGGACGATATTTGGACGTAGTAGCTTTCCGCAAATATCTCGCGCGTGAACAATAGTCACGGTGCTCTGCCGAAAGGGGATTGTTCACCGGAAACTAATGCTCCGGTCGCCAATCTCAAATTCCGAACGTGTTCGATTTGCATCGGTGCACGTTGGCTGCTTAACACAAAATGCACGTGCAGACGCTTCGAGAAACTTGGATGACTCACAATGATTTACACTTCGTTTGAATATTTGTCTTATTTTTATCGTTGTATGGAAAAAAGATGGCTTTCCAATCTATTGATTAATAAACTGTAAAAGCACGCGCATATCATTTTTCGCGTATATTTATTAGGTAAATTTCTTGAATTTGTAATTTCTTGAATATAAATTTAAATAAAATTTAAATAAAATGTGAGAATAATATCGTCTTTTTTGTATGCATTATTGCCGCATTTCTCTATAAAATTTCCAAATATAAAAATGAAAGAGTTACGAAGTTATCGAAAAAAAATATAAAAACTAAACACGCAGACGTTTTTAATACTTTAACGACTCATTCTGGATAGCAGAAAAGATAAAAAATATTTTTTTCTTTTTTTCACGACTCTTTTCAGTCTATCCAGAATTTATGTCACTATTGTCGCGCACACGTGCACGCGCCTATCTCGTAGAGCCTTTTTTTCAGGCCGTGTGGCAGCCACATTTCCGCAGGTAATCCCTTTCGTTCGCAGATGGAATCCACTCGATAGAAAAACGTCGAAAGCTTTCAGCCTTTTCAGATAAGTACTTGCATTGTGCGTAAACTGTCCTTACAAAGTGACAATTGTAACGGTTAACATTTCGTCAGTTTCCTGCCCGTCAAAATTGCACCGCGATTATATTGAAACATATTAAAATTAAAATCTTTTTAAAAATAGAGCTAAATATTATTGTTAAAAAAAGTAACAAGAGTTAAATATCATGTAATTTTAAACTTTCAAGATCATAACATACATTTACATAATTAATAACGCATAAATATAACGTATATAAATGCTATTAATATCAAAAAAAAGAGAATTAAAACAATAAATTCTAGCACAAAAACATTTTCTGAAAATTTAATTAATAGTTGGATCAGATATCGCGCAGAATAACGTGTTTTGATGGACTTAGGATTTTTCTTATGCACATTTGTCCCGTCGATGGGAAATTTAGCGGCAGTTTAAACAGCCACGGACGACTAATTAAAACTGAGATATTTCGCAATTGTGCTAAACAACAAGGTGACGCGCGATTAATAATGGTGCATAGATTAAAATAGAAAATGCCGTGCATGACGGGCGGCGTGCCGTTGTTGAATTTTAATTACGGCCGACATACATGTCCCAGCATCGCAGCAATAGAATTTATAACGTTCCGTTGTAGCGCGGACGATTTAATTTAACAGACTAACAATTTAATGTCCGGAATTTTTCCCTACTGTTCTCGCGCAATTATTCGGTCGCTCATAACGAAATAATTCTATTTCCCGCACGATTGCTTCCACAATATTTCGCGCGTTAATCGCGGTCGAAGTAGTTACCATCGATAGCGGGAGGCATTATATACACATACGTGGTTTTATATGCGTGTAATTTCGTGAGATACCCTTAGGTCTCCGTTCTCGTACCTCGCACTTAAGTGCTAAATGCACCCTGACGTATCCAATTTTATTACGCTAATCGCATTCACAGTGTTATAGTGCATGCTAAGAATTTCACACGTCACATTCCATGCTAAATGAGAAATATAAATGTATGAATCTTTATTTAATGAAAAAAATTATGTTTATGCAAATTGCTTTCAGAGTCTAGAGCAACAAACTCATAATACAAAATATAATACAAATACATAATAGAAACTCACATTTTTTAAGATGTTACAGTAATAAACGTATCTAACAAGATGTAATCGATAAAAAAATAATATCAATTTTAGCTAATAATACCTCTAGTCTTGGATAATAATAATAATAACACATTTTGCGGATTTATATACAATGCAGCTAATAAAATATGCTTGCATTCAAAAATTAGTTTCTTTCATTTTTTCAGAGATGAAAAATTATCCACTGTATTTTTCCTTGCTCGTAGATTTTTTTTTTTTTGAGAGGCAAAGAGAATGAAACACGAGCGAGTCGCGTCCAAAAAGTCGCATATCGCGATATCTGTTTACGTTTTGCGGGTTTATATCTGGAGCAACGTGATTTATGATTCATAAACCCGTGCACGTCGATTTCCATAGATACATGAGACGGCGTTATTGTGCTGAGTGCACGTATGTAAAGTGTCCGAGAAGTTACATACTCTTCCTGCAGACGTATCGGGTACTAAAGATAGCAAATTACAGAGAATGGCAAATTATCTCCCAATGTGTGTATCAAAGTATATGAATAAAATTTTCAAGCTACTACAGATTAAAGACCAATTTTCATTTTGTGTTAAATGCTAAATAGAAACTTTATTATCAAAAGTAATTACTGCTGCTAATAATTTTAATTCTATTGTAAATAATCATTGTGCTCCACGTTAGTTGTTGAATATATTATATATATATATATATATATATATATATATATCGCACTGTGATTAAATATAATATAGTACATAGACTGAAATGATTTTGACACCGTATATATAAAATTGACAAATGCGCATATTATGCACAACAACCATGTATTATGTCGGAATAATAGTAATTGTGCAATTGACAAAATTGATTTTCGATAAAAAAATTAATATATATTCTACAATACAACTATAATTGAATGCAGTGATAAACATTTCTGCAGAATAGGAACATAACGCCATCATACCATCGATGTCAGACTCCCATCAATTTTTTGTCATGCAATTATAAGAGCAAGTTTAAAAGCCATAACCGCGTAGAAATACGCCGCTATTCGGTTTTAATCGATATCAATACACCGACATCCATTGCGAGCTCGACCGCGCGAATCTGACCGAAAATGACAGATCATCCAATCAATCGCGGTATCGTGAGGCAAAAAAAGCGTGTCAGGAAAATCGGCTTTATATTCCGCGTAGCGGATATCGTTAATTAATCATACTGCCAGAGATTATTACGGATTGCATGATGTGCTAATCAAATATTTGGTATTCGTATGTCAATACTTAGATTTTCGTTTTAGATAATTGAGATGAATAAGTTTTTCGTGATTAAATAACTCGGTGTAATATTTAGAGATAAAATCTGTTTAACTAACCTCATTTCAATTATATTTAATGAATAAATAACAGATATATTCTCTCTTAATAAGAGAAAAGATAATTAATTTTTAAACGCGATATTTATTTTATTTCTCTTGTACAACAAAGATTATAGGTATATAAATCTGCATTTTATTTATATAGATTTCGTCGATTATATTCCCGTGAGAAAAACGAACAGGTAACTTTTTTCAAGCCACGTAATATTTTTTCATGGCAAAGAGCGAAAAATAATTTGCAACTCGCGACGATACGTGATCGCACCGGGGCCAATTTGCGGTAACGGCGCGGCAGACGTGCCTGGGATGTCGCGCGAGTTTCGGTATTTCCATTCCTCTTTTTCGTGAAACACGGAACGCGATAAACAAACGGAAATTACATTTTGCGGGCACCAATAGAAAAATAGAAATGCATACCCCCGTCTCGCGGTGGTTCTCAAAGTGCGATGTGACGCATGCCAAGTTTGCTCGAAAAATTTCGTTTCTTATAGTTTGTCAAGAGAGAGAGAGAGAAATAGAGAAAGAAGAATCTAGGCGCATCATTTCGCGCATACGATGCTTCCAAATTAAGGCATCGCAACGCTCTACTCGCGGGAAAACGGAATCGCTTTATGTACCGTTGAAATTTACATCGATGCAGCTGCGCCGCAATTTGCAAATGCACCAAGAGTATCGTCAATGTGAATCTTTCCTTAGTTGGAACGCGAGTTTTGCAATGTTAAAAACTGCATAGATAGAAAATGTGATTTATTAAAATTATATTATTGAGAATGATTTTGCGCGTGTTTGAAAAAAGAGCAAAATGCTTGCTTCGTTAATTAAATATTTGACGAACAGTATAAATTTCAACTATAGTGCACTTCAATTACAGTGCACATTTCAAAACGATGGCATTTCGCAGACTAATTTGTGTAATAATTTTTTATTTTAGTATTTTCCAGTTAGTTGTAAAAAGTCAGGTTTAAAAATTTTCGATGCACATTATTCATCTGACTATAAATTTAGAAATCATACATGCAAAATATTAAATTTTAACCTCTCGTAAAACAGATTAATATTTTATTAAAAGAATTCTTTCATATATTTTTCGTATCTTTGTTAGTACTATGTAAAAAGAAAAATCTTTTCAGAGTTCCATATCACTTGCTGCAGTGAGTTGTTCGAAACTTGGTTGATAGATTCTTTTGGATCATGTTCATGTTTGCTATATTACCGAAGAAGAGAGATCAGCACTACAGAGAAAAAGAGATACACAAATAAAAGAATGAAGAAATTTTACGTTCGCGGATGATTCCCCGCTACGATATATTTCATGGATCAACCATCGCAATATATATTGGCGAAACGTATAAAAATGTGGCCACGACCAGAGAAATTTCCCAGGAAATCCACTTTTCCGAATACAGTTGCTG